CCTGGAGTGGAGCCAAGCCTTCTGCTTGCTTCGTGGTGGCAGCCATTTCTGTTGGGATTTATGTATCTTTTATAATTGAAACTTTGTAGCCTTAAGTGGAGGCCTGGACCATCAAGGGTGTGCAAAAAGCTTGGCTTCCTCCATAGCTGAGGCAACCCTAGCCTCCTGCTCTTTCCAGTTCTGTGACTGCCGTCATTTCTGTTTGAATTTATTTATCTTCTGTCATTGAAACTTTGTAGCCTTGAGTGGAGGCCTATGCTGGCAAGGTCAGGTGCAAAGCTTGGCTTCCTTTATTGCCAGGGAAACATAAGCCTCCCTCCTGCTCTCTCTGCTGCCATAGCCATCTTGATTGGGTTTATTTGCATATTTACTCCTGATTGGCTGGTGAGCATGGCTTGTGGGTACAGCAGAGTGTTGGTTAATTTGCATATTACTCTTTTATTAGATAGGATGGCCAGTGCGTGTCATGGCAGCTCGTGTTGATGAGTGTGCATCATAGCTACTGGACGGATGGACACTTAGACTTTTATATATATAGATAATCATTATGAATTTTTTGGTGTTTTATTCTATTGAACCATTGGAAGCCAGTTTATTTTTAACTGTTTTTAATGTACATTGAAGTTCTGCCAAATGGACTATAAACTTCTTTAAGGGAAAAACCCCCACCATGCCTTATACTTATTTTTATTCCTCTCAACAAATCATTGCATAAATGACACTAAAGAAAAATATTTCAAATGAATAACTCAGTAACTGATTTTTAACAAATGGCAAATTTCACAGATTTCAATATAGAGTCAAATATTTTTTCCATTTTTATTAAATTTATTGGTGTCACATTGGATAATATAATCATATAACTGAGTAGCCAGATTATTATGATCTCTGAACACATAATATATGTTAAAGGCCTGTTATGCCTGGTGCATGAATTCGTGCATGGGTGGGGTCCAGCCTGCCTGGCCAGGGGGAGGGGACATGGGCAGTTGGCTGGCTTGTCTGCTGGTTGAACTCCTGATTGAGGGGACAATTTGCATATTAGCCTTTTATTATATAGGATATACACTGAATGGTCAGATTATTATGTTCATAGAGCATAATAATTTGGCCACTCAGTGTAGGTTTCAGTTGTGAGCTTTTATGTTACAACATTTGTATATTGCACTGTGTGCCCACCATCCAAAGTGAAATCTCCCGTAACCATATATTTGGACTCCTTTATTCCCCTTCCCCTTTCCTCAGGCAACCACCACACCAGTTTCACCAGTTTCAGTTTTATGTTCCACATATTGGTGAAATCATGTGGTTTTTAGCTTTCTCTGATTGACTTATTTCATTTAGCATAATATTCTCAAGGTACATCCATGTTATTGCAAATGGCTCTATTTCATCCTTTCTTATGGCTGAATAGTATTCCATTGTGTATATATACAATCTCTTCTTTATCCAATCCTCTATCACAAAATACTTTGGTTATTTTTATGTCTTGGCCACTGTGAATAATGCAATGAACATAAGAGTGCATCTATCTTTGTGAATATGTATTTTTGAGGGGTATATATCCAGGAGAGGGATTGTTGAATTTTTTGGTAGCTCTATTCTTAATTGTTTGAGGAATTACCAGATTGCTCTCCATAGTACCCTGTTTCCCTGAAAATAAGACAGTGTCTTATATTAATTTTTTCTCCCAAAGTTGCGCTAGGTCTTATTTTCAGGGGATGTCTTATCTTTCCATGCGCTAGTGTTATTTTCGGAAGATGTCTTATTTTCAGGGAAACATGGTAGTTGTACCAGTCTATATTCCCATCAGCAGCGAATGAGGGTTTTCTTTTCTCCTCAACCTCTCCAACACTTGTTATTGCTTGTCTTATTGATAATAACCACTTTAATGGTGGTGGTGGTAGTAGTATCTCATTGTAGTTTGGATTTGCATTTCCCTAATTGCTAGAGGGGGTGAACATATTTTCATGTATCTATTAGCTGTTCATATGGCTTCTTGGGAGAGGTGTATTTCAGGTCCTCTCCCGATTTTTTAATTGGGTTGTTTCTTTGGTGGTGAGCTTTATGAGTTCTCTATATATTTTGGAAATTAAACCTTTGTCAGAATGATTGTTTGCAAATATCATCTCCCAGCTAGTTGGTTGCTTCTTTGTCTTGTTGTCAGTTTCTTTTGCTGTGCAGAAGCTTTTTAATTTGATATAATCCCATTAATTTAATTTAATTTTGCCTTTACTTCCCTTGCCTTTGGGGTCAAGTTCATAAAATGTTCTCTACAACCAAGGTCCATAAGTTTGGTACTTGTATTCTCTTCTATGTAACTTATTGTTTCAGGCCTTATATTTAGGTCTTTGATCCATGTTATTAAAAATAAATTTTTATTGTTCAGATTATTACAATTGTTCCTCTTTTCCCCCCATATCTACCCTCCACCCAGTTCCTACCCTACCCTCTGCCCTTACTCCTCCCCACTGTCCTCATAGATAGATGTACAATTTTTGTCCAGTTTCTTCCCACACCACCCACACTCCTTTCCCTCTGAGAATTGTCAATCCACTCCCTTTCTATGCACAAACTTAAATAAGTGCTTCTATCAAAGTATTCCTTCAGTAAAATGTGTATAGTTTACTGGCCATGATGAGAAAAAGTAAGTATTTATCATTGGTTTTAATTCTTCTAGTCCACCTTCAGGCTTTCACCACCCTATTTTCTGTGTCCATGGGTTATGCATATATGTATACAAGTTCTTTGGTTGATCTCTTCCCATCCTGTTTGCAACTCCATTGTTTTGAGTATCAGCAGTACCTGGATCAGAATGGTCATCAGTTTGAAAACAGGCATGACAAAAAATGATTAATTTCTGTAGATTCTTTTATATTTTAAAAATGAACTGTATGTTAATAAACACTGACTTTATAATTATTCAAAGCATACACATTTTGGGAAATATAAACATATATATATTTGTAGAGTTTTGTAAAATATATTTTAAATATTTATACAAAACATTTATTTCAATCATGTTCAGTTTAGCATTATATCAGTAACACATGAAAGACACATTACCTGCTTTATGTACACCATGATTTTCCCCTAGGTGCATAATATAAATGATTAGAAGAATGAAAGGTAAATTTTCCATAATGTCCAATACAGACACTTGTCTTTATTTGTTTTTGGCACATTGTCAAATTTTATCACAGAGATCTGATTATCCAAAGACTGATTAACTTACTCATCACTTCCTGATTCTAATTGTTCATTTATTTTCTGCAATGGACATATTCTAAACTTAGAAAAGAATGAAGTCAGGTCCATTCTCAGTCCATAGGTAGAACCCATACCTAATATCAGTGAAATATCATGAATGCTTACCTTTATAGTAAGAGAAAAATATAAATCTTCATTTTTGTCTTATAGCAAATTGAAACAACAATATTAATGTTTGAATATTTTACAATCCTATATAATAAAGAGGCAATATGCAAATTGAACATCACACCCTTGCACAAGATAGCCACCACAAGATGGCTGGCAGAGGAGGGCAGTTGGGGGTGACTAGGCCAGCAGGGAGGGTAGTTGGGGGCAGATAGGAGCTGCAGGCTGTGTTGGACTGTGAGTTTTGGCCCAATCCCTGCAGGCCACCCAGAGGGCCACCTCCCATGCATGAATTTGTGCACTGGAGCTGTAGTTTGAAATATAAAACATGGGGTAAATGTACTAGAGCAACTATAAAATTAATGCTTTCTCCTAAATATTACTGTTTGGAAAGTAACTTAGAGATTTTCTGAAATTTTCAGTTAAATACTGTGTCATTAATTATTGAATATCTGTCATGTAAGCTATCAGAATAAGTTTCATTATCACATGACACAGGCTTTTCTGCTTTAAAAATCAAAGTTTATTTTAGCAGTAAATGTTAGCTTACAACTTTCCGGCTTTACAGTAGACAGTAATAAAGTATACTTACTGCTTTAATCCTTGATTTGATAAACCAAGGTAGTACATGTGTTCTGCTTCAGACTTTTATAAAGATGCCTATTTATTTTGGGGCAACATAATATTTCATCTCTACTAGCATACTCAATTTGAGTGTAACCATAGGCTGTTCTAAGCCTACTTCCAGAAATGAAGAAACATATAAATTAACTGCATATACTGGATAGTATATATATATATGGCACATTTAAGAGAAAATAATTATTTTGGACAAAATAAGTAATGATATGTTTTTATTAATATGTTTTAGAAAAGTTAGAAAAAGCAAAAGCAGTTTAAAAGTTTGGTTAGTTTGTCAAAAGTTAGGTCATGCCATGGTGATATGAAGAGCCATGGGTTAATAATGGTAGAGTTAGCAGGATTAAAATTAAAATCTGATTAATTTTAAAGATATATAGTTTATATATATACTAGAGGCCTGGTGCATGAATTTGTGCATGGGTGGGGTCCAGCCAGCCCTCCCCAATTAGGGCCGATTAGGCAGAGCTGGCTGAGGGAAGGGTCTGCGAGAGGTTGGCCAGCCGTCCCCCTGATCAAACTCCAGGCCCAACTCCAAGTCAAGGCGAAAATTTGGATATTAGCCTTTTATTACCAATGTTTTATTGGTAATAAAACATTTAGGATCAGGTGAAAGGAAACTTTTCAACTTCATAAACATTTTAGTTTAAAATAAAGTCTTGTTTATGATACCTTTGTCTAGTCTAATTTACTGTGATCATTGTATAGGAGTGGAATTAAATTGTAACAATGTAATGGTATTTTTATATTTATAGACTCAAATATATTCTTTCCCTTCAAGTCCAAATTTCATAATCTTTTTGGATAACTACAATAACTTTCTTTTGTAGACTGTATAAAATACCAGATTTGTTAAAGGAATAAATAAAAAGTGCTTTTGAATGATTTGAAAATAAAAGGAAATAAAAGATTGAATTTATTTATAATAGTTTCATTTAATCTTCATTTTTCCTCAGGATTAAATGATCTTTAGCCTTCAAAAATTAATATTTAAATGTTTGCATCTTTACTTGCACCTTAATATTGATATTAGTAGCCCCTTCATCAGCTACTAGTATATATAATATAATACAGATATAATATAATATAAAAGTATAAGACAAATGAACAATGAAATTTTCTCCTGCAATTACTAAAAAGACAATTACAATGAAGCCAATATTCATAGATAGATCTAGAATTGTTTCACTGCTTTCACAGAAATTAAATCCATCTTCTTTTGGTCATTGTCAATGTGTAAGAGCAATTGATATGGTACACTGGCTTCACTATAATTACAGACTTCATCTCCTGGGGTAAATTTTCATTGGTAGTTCATCTCAAAACATAACATTTAGTGAGAATCTTATTTTGAGGCCCAAAGCCATTGTAATCAGAGATTATTATGGATCATATTTGGCATAGGTGAAAAATGAATGTGACTTCTCATGAACATTTAATAAGGCACTTTAAATGCATAACAGAGAAATGCTCTCTGATAATGAAATCTTTTAAGCCAAATAACTCTTGACTGTTATCTGGATACAAATGAAAAACTGTATGCTTACTTTTAATTGTTATAGTAATGTGACTATTTCATTAAAGGCAATGATTAATGGTTGGATACCAATGAGCATGATTGCATTTGCCTTCTCCAAAAGAAACTTGAGTATTGTCATTCATTTTGAGATGGTTTGAAGCATTCACCAGTCTAGACGGCATAGTGAAATTATACCTATAAAAGCAAAAGGAAGGATGGAAAGAGCAATGAACTGTTTCCCTGGCAATGAGGTTTGGTGATAAAATGTTTCCAGTTGCCTGAAATCCATACAGTATTTGATTGGAAGAATTGCGTTCTGATAGACACTGCCCATTGACGTCTGTAGATGAACTGTTTTTTGAATTGGCAACTTCCATCATGAGTGGGCTTAATGACTGAGAACTGCTGTTGCTTGCTAGGTTTTCAGCAGCAGTCAAGACAAGAGGCTGCTGTCGCCAAAAATCAGTTGGACAAATCTTGTAGCAAAGGGGCAAGTTGATACTGTGCAGGTACACCTCCGGATAGGCCATTCCAAGGGAACTTGTAGGTAAGTGAAATGTAGGTGGGGAACAAGGTGGAGAAAGCAAGGAGTTCAAAGCCCCTCCACTAGACGTCACTGGAGATGAGCCACTGCTTCCACCTGTGAATGACAATTCAGGCAATGAACTTGATGTCCCTACTGAATCACTAATCATGTCCACAGCTATCCCTGCTTCATTCTTTGGTTAGGTTTTCTTGCATTTTTTTAAAACTTCTTTGAGAAAGAATATGCTTATTCCTCTGACCAAAGTTGAATTTGTACCTCTACTACTACCACTATTACTCTTAGCACTACTATTATGTGGTAGGTAATATTTATCCAATGAATTACAAAGAAGCCCAATTAAGTATGACCAAGAACCAATTATCCTATATAATAAAAGCTTAATATGCTAAGTGTCCGGTCGTCGGGTTATCCGTTCAACCAACCAAAGCATAACATGCTAATTATATGCTAAGGCCACTAAACTGCTTGTTATGACATGCACTGACCACCAGGGGACAGATTCTCTGACTGATAGGTTAAGCTTGCTTCTGGGGTCTGGCCGATCGGGACTGAGCAAGATGGTCCAGACATGCCCTGGAGCCCTCCTGCTGTCCCTTCCCAGCTGGCCAATCTCCAGCATCCCTCCTCAGCCCCAATGGTGCACTGGTGGGTTCCCTGGGCCTGGCCTATGCCCTCTCACAATCAGGGACCCCTCTGGGGATGTTGGAGAGCCAGTTTTGGCCTGATCCCACAGGCCAGGCCGAGGGACTACACTGGTGCATGAATTCATGCACTGAGCCTCTAATACCTTAAAAATATAAATTAGATTTTTTTAAACTAAAAAAATTACTAAAGTTCCTTTTCCATTTTTTAATTTTTATTAAATAAACATACAAATAATGTGAAAGATCTATGTACTGAAAATTATAAAACATTATTTTTTTGGGGGGTATAAAATCCTTTATTAGGACCTCAGAAAGATAAAATGCATTTACTAAGCAGTACTTTTCAGTCAGACAAATGGACTTCTACAGAACACTGAAAAGCTTAAGGGCATTGTTATCTCAGCAAAAGCCAAAAATAGAGGAAGACTTATCCTTAAGAGGTGAGTGGCTATGGCTATTTTCTAATTGTGTAGACGACCCCCCCCCCCCAAGTAAAATTCACAGTGAATCCATAAAGTTTCTAAAAGAATTAAATCAGCAGAAATGCTACCAACTTGAAAATTACAAAAATATTATTAAAAGAGACTGAAAAGACATAACAAAGTGGAAAAATATCCTGTGTTCATGGATTGGAAGAATCAACATAGTTAAAATGGACATCTTACCCAAAGCAATATACATATTTAATGTAATCCTCATCAAAATTCAAATGTAATTTTAATTAAATTTATTGGGGTGACATAAATACATACAGGTTTTAAGAGTACAACTCAATAAAATATCATCTGCACACTGCATCATGTGCCCTTTGCCCCAAGCAAAATCTCTTTTTGTTTCCCTTATCCCACTTTTGTCCACATCCATCTATCCCTCACCTCCTTTCCCTCTGGCCATCACCACACTATTGCCTCTGTCTATGTCTTATATGTATGTGGCTTTTTTGTTTTGTTGTTATTGTTGTTTTTTACTTAATCCCTTTATCTTCTTCCTTCCAGTCCCCCAAACCCCCTTCTTCTTGACTAAATTAAACAAATTAGTTGTTTGGGATTCTAGAGAAAGCAACAGGCTGATAAAAAATCAGTACACATGAAAGTAATCTTTACAAATTAAAACAGTACAATATATACATGATGCATTGTAGTCTTATGCATCTGAATCCTATAAAATTTTATTAACCAACTAGAGGCCTGTTACATGAGATTCATGCGCTTGTGTGTGTGTGTGTGTGGGGGGGGGTCCCTCAGCTCAGCCTGTGGTCTTTTGCAGTCTGGGAACCCTTGGGGGATGTTTGCCTGCTGGCTTAGGCCCGATACCCCCATCACAATCCTGGGCTCTCACAGTTGGGAATTCCTCTCTCCTTACCCCTCCCTCTATGTAGCAGAGGCAGGAGAGACTCCTGCCACTACTGCTGTGCTCACCAGCCATGAGCCCAGCTTCTGGCTGAGTGGTGCTCCCCCTGTGGAAGTACACTGACCACCACGGGGCAACTCTTACTACGGGGCAACTCTTGTGTCAACTGTCTGCCTCCTGGTGGTCAGTGCCTGTTATAGTGACTGATCATTGCACTGTTCAGCCAATTTGCATATTAGGCTTTTATTATATTAGTATAGGATGTCACCAAATAAATTCAATAAAATAAATAAGTATATGTTTAGATGCATTAGATTTTTTCATACATAAAAAAAAAGACTTTCATGGTAACACTGTATCAATAGTTAAAGATAGTTTTGCAGTCTAAAAAAATATCAAGATGAAAATGAAAATGAAAATGTTTAAATCAGTGTTGTCAGGTGACCTTTTATGTTTGCCTAGCATCTACTAAAATTAGGGATAATTATAAGGTCCACAAACATCTAAACTCTTCACTTATTTTTTGAATTGAAAAGATTTTTTATTGATTGAACATAATCAAATTTGTGTGTGTGTGTGTTACTGTTGTTTTTCTATTTTATGTACATAGACTAATCCCTTATCAACAGGGTGGCAAATCTATTTTATACCTAAACATTTAAAATTTTTTAAAATTGGTACCCATTTTATTTGCAATTTGAGAGTATTCTGGACATATTAAGTAATTCAGAAAATGTGCTTTTTAAATTGTCAACTACTTATAATCAAACTTTTTTTATTTGGGCACTTTGCATTGACTTAAATATTTAAAAAAAACATGCTGCCTTGATGCTATTAAAGTGATAATACAAAAATATTTGTATGCAATCTTCCAGACCAAATTAATATCGTCAATCCCATGAAATATTTTGCCAAATGATTAGACTTCATCTCTTCACATTTCAATTGCTTGTTATGGTACTGTGTAAAACTCAACATAACTGTAATATTGATGATTTCTCAAGGTAATTGTAGCCTAGAATTTATGTTCCAGAACTTTACCCATCTCCCCCCAGAACTTTAATGAAGTAAAGACATAAGGGATAAAATAATTCCTTGTAGCTTGTAAGTAAGCTATTTTATATATTGTTAAATATCAGAGTAAATGAAGGTATACATTCTTTCATGAGAAACCCTGCATTGTCTAATTATGATTATTATTTAGTCATGTATTGTCCTATCTGAGAACAAACACATTACAAATATTTTAAATGCTTGTGGTAATTAAGCTATTTGAAATGGTTTAGTATTGTTTTTAACATTTTTTCCCCAATTACAACAATAGAAGAAATAGAGCTAAGTATGATAAAACTTTTAATTAATTTAATTTAATGGAAGTCATTTTAACATGTGATAAATGTTTAACATAAAACACAAAGTATTTATTCCCATATCTAACATATTTGCAAATAAGTCCACAAATGCACCACAGATTCTAAAGAATATTAATAGTAAGATGCTAAAGAATTTAGGTGACATCTAGAGATCTCAGGAAGACAGAAGTCAATAAATTCATCATTATCATGTCTCTGCTCTTTTCCTTCATGCCAGCTCCTTTCCCTTTTCTCCTCTTACCTTTCATCAAGATATATACCCATTTTCTTATAAACGCACTTTTCTAACATGTACTTATCCCCTTGTGTAATATTTGGTATAAAAACTTTGTCTGTAGCTATTTAATTAACATTTAAAAATAAATATTAATAAAATGTTTCTTACTTTGTGTGTCTGAACCAAAAGTTTTAAAATCCAGAGTGAGAGAAGGCACCCATGGGTAGGTCTCTAAAAGCCCTTCCAACACACCCCTGGAAAAAGAGATTCAAACTTCAGCAAGTCCAGAATGTTTTTCCTGAAAATAATTATTTATGTACACTTGTGAGTTATTTTGTTATGATTTTGAGGTGTGAATATCTGAAATATAATTCTTTTTATAGCTAGACTTGTAAATAAAATCCCAAGTAATTATTCCTTGATTAAAAAAATTGATGAAACTAGAATAAGCAATATCTTAAAAGTGGATATTTTTTAATATATTGGGAAGGAAGCAAGATTTTGGAGACAAATAATCTAAGTCCATTTTCACCATCTACTAGCTACAAAATTTAGGGCCTCTGAGTCTCTGATCCACACTTTGATTATCTGTAATACTTGTGAAAAGGGCTATGTAAGTATTCGATGTGATTGTTATATTGCTTACTTGTTTCTTCCAGGATCTCTAAATCCCTTAGCAAAAGGATTCCTGTCTATTTTCAGTTTGGTAATCTATGAATTCAAAAGAGAAAAATATAAAGTCAGTGCACTAGTAATAACACTGTCTCCATTGTTTTTAATGGTTACAAAACCATAAAACACTTTTCAATGTACTTCGGCATGTTAAATAAATGCAAATGTATTTCTAAGTCAACTTTAGAATGGTTATTTTCTTTTTCTCCCGGCACATTGTTTTGCTCTTTTCTTAATCACAAGATCCACACAATACACAATCAAACATGCCTTGGTAAAAATGCAATAAGACTATGTTGTGGTGGTTGTTTTTTTAAACCAAGGAAAATTCAATCCATATAGTGCAACTTTCCTCTCTTCTGCAAGTCCCTCTGTGATCACCACTGCTTGCCAGAGATCTTGTTAGCTTTACCTGCTGGTTTTGATAAGCTGTTACCGTGGTGAACTCTGTTTCTTCAAAGGAGAATGTTTTAACTCCTTCGGTGGGCAGGGACTGAATCCAGGACAGGCTGACTCTGCTGTCCTGCTCCATCACGTGCACACGGGGCTTGTACTTGTGCATGGACTGCAGAATGATCTGGAGGAGAAATGATCAAATGCTACCTAGAAATTGGCTTCCCTTCCTTAATACTCTCCTCTTCTCATCAGTACCCCCCAATTTGCTTACACACAAAAGTAAAACTAAACCAGAAAGGCTCGTAAGTTACACGCAAGGATTTTTCTCTGCCATTTTGTTCCAGGAAGAGACCCTCAGGGCTAAGAAATTTCTGCACCAGGGCATCAGAGCCATCAGTGATTCCATTTCTATGGGCTTTTCTCTACTTCCAAATGTGGGTATCCATGAGATGTACCCAAGTGTCACTGGGATCTGACTGCATGCCATAAATTCTTTGGGCTAATGGTAACCGATGGGCAACCACCTGTCATTCTCCACCTCAATTTCTGGAGTTTGCCTATTTCCTCGTATTGTTGGCATAGGGTCAGACTGGTAAGGGGAGCGGAAGGGGTGCATCTGAGAAGCTCGAGATGAAGGTGACTTGCAAAGGCCATCTATGCAGGTGGCTGGAAAGGAGACTTCCAACACATCATGCCACACCAAAAATGCCCATCTACTAAAAGGCAATCAGGGCTCACAGCAATTGCTTGGTAAGTTGAGGAGTCAGGGAGATCTTTGAAACATTCCTTTCCACTCTCCCAGTACAGGTATCTAGGCTTAAACAAGTGCCATTTGATCCTCACAGTCCTTTAATTCAACATTCCCAACTCAGTCTCAGCCATCAAAGGGCATAGGAACTACTTTCATTATAGGCCCAGAACTTGATCAATTCTTAAAGACCACAATTAACTCATCTAGAAGAAGCCTCCTTGGCATATCCAGGATGACCTCGTCTCTGATGCCTTAGCATAGCATTTCTTTCCTTTTCTCAGGGCAAAGGATTGCACACTTACCTGGTCTTTGTCATCCATTTCATTGTTGGTGAGTTTCACGCGATCAAAGCTGATTATCTGCCTCATCCAGGTCTCTCCTGAGCAGGGAGAATCTGGGTGAACATAGAGCCTGGGAGCGATGCAGGAGTGGTCAGTATTCCCAGCTACCATCCACTGAGAGGTGTGGTACACATACCTAAAAAAGGCGAGGGAAATGTAACCTTAGGCACAGCCAGCCAAATCTAGGGGCATGAGAAGAAGGCGGCCAAGATCTGGTCCAAATGGCCTCTGCCAAAGTTTGCCAGCTAATCCCAGTGGAAACTAGTAGAAGTTCAAACTTGATTTCCAAAGATCGTTTGGGACAGAAAGAAAACTGCAAATAAGCATATGTCATTAAAACACAATGCAGTGCCAGAACAAGTATAATGTCATGGGATTTCAGAGTCTGGTTTGTATTTCCTCTCAGGAATCACAACAGAAATTGAGCTAACCCATTTCATTTCACAGAGTGGCCAGAAAAATCCTCATGCTTTGGGCCACAGTGTCAGGGAAGAAGCAGAGGAGGTGAGGAAGGTGTCTATCCAGTTCACTGCCAAGAGTCATTGTGGAAGAACTTTTGCCAGCAAGGCTTCATATCAGTATATCCCCATGAACTCTGCCCCATTTGGCCTCCAGAATGATTTTCACAGTATTTCTAATTTCATCCCCTGGGTTGTGCACAGCATTTTCAAGATAGCTCAAATACCAGAGGCTAACAGCTTGTTCTGTTGTTCCCAGACATTTGCTCCTGCGGCCTCTTGAGCTGTGCTTTTTCCTTAACCTCCAAACCTAGCTGTCTCCTAGAAAGGCTAGACACCCACTTTGGTAGAAAGCTCATAGCTCTCAGCTCACGGCCAGAGTGCAGTGGCTCCCACACAAACCCCATAGCTCCTGAGCCAAAGTGCTAGTAGGCCCACACTTCCAGCTTCTTGGTTTTTTATTAATTCAGACACTTTTAGATAAAACTAAGTAGAGTGCTTATAGCAAGAGACAAGTTTTCTTGTACTCTCTGTGACCTGACCTGTGTTTCTGGAAAGAGGCTAAGAAAGAAAAGATGGACCTAGTACAGTAACTGCTAGACTAGCATTGGATGGCAAACCAGGGCGTTACTCCAGGATCTTCTGCCAAAGTAGCACAACCAAGAGCCCAGTGTGGACGCAGAATCGCAGGCATTTCTTCCCAAACTTCCACAAACAGCCATCTGAGTCCACACCTTCTGCCGTTTGCTCAGACAAGGCCAGAGCAGTGGATAGACCAGAGGTTTGGGAGACACCGAAGAAGCAAACGGCACCTCTTTACAAGAAGGAGAAGAAAAAGGAGGAATGATTTTTTCTCAGTCTGAACCCCAGTGTGAACAAGACAATTTGGTTTGATCAAGAAAATTTGATTCTCAAATTCCACAGGAAAGCAATCCCACTTCCCTTACCTGTGGTAGAGTTTTAGAGTTTTCAAAATAGCACTCTCAGGTTCCAAAGACCAGAATCTCTATTCCCAGCCTGAGCCTGTAGTACTCTCCTTAGGGCCTGGTTACCTATAGCGTTTGGAATCCACAGGCACTACATCCATGACCACATAGTACTGCTTCCCTGGGTCCAGCCCTTTCACCTTGACCCGAACAGAGGGGAACATCCGCCTGTGGAAGAGAAATAGCAACTGATCTGGGTGCTTTTAGAGACATTTCAAGTGTGGCAGGGTTGGGGGTCAAATGAGAAGTGAAGGAATTCACAATACCCTTCCCATTCGAGGACAGGTTTAGGGAATGACATTTTCTATAAGAACAAAAACTGTTAGTTGTATACTCGATTGAATAAGTTTAGGATGTCTGTATGGAGTAGAATATCCTTACCACAAGACTTTGTCCACCCCACTCCCCACTACCACCATAAAAAAAAAGAAAAAAGAAAAAAAAAAAGCTATAACAGAGAAAGTAAGAGAGAAATGCTATTCCCCTTTCTCAGGTTTTCAGTGGAACTTTTTGAAAGCAGATTCGAAAAAGACTGAAATTAGGAGGATTGACACACACAAAGTTGCCCAGCTGCCCCTAAAATATAGCCCTATGGCACCAGGTCAAAGTGGGAATGCTCCACCTCTGACTGGCCTGGGCTAGGGATGATGATTTGGGAAGATGCTAGATGGGATAATGTCTTCTGAAAACTATGAGGCTTTAACAGGTTACCATGGCCATAAGCTTAAGATGCAGGGTTGGAATCTGGCATCTAGCTCCTTGGCAGGTCTAATTTTTGTCATATATCACGCAAGAAGAATGAGTTTTGGGAGTCACAATGTACAGAAAAGAAATACGGAGCCATTAACATGAGCCAGGCATATCCTAATCTGGTCAACTGAGAGGCAGTGGCTTTCTAATGTCTGTCGGGGTAGGGGTACGGGGTGAGGGGTTGATTGCTAGTGCATAAAGCCGGGGGCATCACATCTTAGGAGAGCTGAACAATAAGGAACTACCGTGTGTGACCCTTAATCAGCTTGAGCAGAGCCGAACCTGCCGGCTTTGGTAATAATCATCTCAGTCCCAATGGCGTGGAATCTCTTCCACAGCTCAGATCCTTGAAGCTCCACTTGGATAGCATCTTTCTCTCCCCGAGTTTCACCCTTGTTGAGATCTTCATTGCCTCCGCCTCCGCTGCCACTGCCGCTGCTGCTGCCTCCGCCGCAGCTGCCCCCGCTGCTGTCTGTGCCACCTCTGCCTCCTCCGCAGCTGCTGCCGCCTCCACAGTCTCCACCGCCTCCGCCTCCACCGTCTCCGCCGCTGCAGCCCTCAGAGCCATAGTTGCCGCCGCTGTGGCCTCCTCCAGGGCCTCTGCAACCTGAGAAAGTTGCTGAGGACTCTGTCTTGGGTCGCTTTTCTGTTGGATACAGAGACGCCTGGAGTTTTCAAGAAAGCTTCCTGGTTCACACCCATCTTCTCGCCTAGTCTCCTACTGCCTAGCCCGGGGACCTTGGAGGCTGATCTCCGAGATCCCCACAACACCCACTGTTGTCTCCGATGGAGATAAATGGGTTCACGGTGCGCTCTGTTAAAGGCATGGTCCTTCTTCAAATTGGCCCATCCTTACTTTCTCAGAGATTTTCGGTCCCTGAGGCTTAAATTTCTTGGAATTGGGGTGTATGCCCTGCTTCCTACCCCGAGAAACAGCCACTTTGAGGCTCTCAGGGTATCAGGGAGGTTGGAGAGTCTCACTTCTCCCCTTCACCATAAACGAACCACAAAATTACAGACTGAACTCCGAGGCTCTGAAACTTCCAGACAGCCAAGTGGACTAAGTGTCCCAGCGGCCCCAATATTGGCCATTCATCTGGGCCAGGACATCCATCTTTCTGCAGCGTCTTAGGCTAGGCTGGGACTTGCAGATCCAGCAAGCTCCAATAGCAGGGTTTGGGGGCGAGGTAGGGGTACTTACCCGGCTGCTCACGCTCCTTCCCTGTGACGCTGCTCCTCTCTCCCTCCTTTCCCCTCTCTTTCTCCTGTAGCTCAGGCTGCACCTCCTTTCTTCGATCTTGCACTTTTCTTTTGCTGGTTCTCCCCACCAAGGCTTCTACTGAAAAGGCTTGCGCCCGAGAGCTCAGAGCCATCCCTGGAGGGGAATGTGCACTGCAAAGTTTCAACCTGAATTGCTTTTAAGGAGGGAGGGGGAGGGAGTGCGCAGAGGACTGAAGAGAGAAAGTAATCCCCAAATCAGAAAAAAAAAAAAAATTCTGGATCAATATTCAAAGAAAAAAAAGTTGTGTGTGTGTGTGTGTGTGTGTGTGTGTGTGTGATTTAGATATATATATATTTCTTTGAATAGGATGAAAGGAAAAGAAGATCAAACTGAAGTCAAAGTCCTTTGGAGTCTAGTCCCCCTTTCCTCTGCGGTCTCCTCCCTCCCAATGGACATGTGCGGACCATCAGTCCTTAACTCCCTGATTCCTGGACATGGCAGAGTGCAGAGATTGGCAAGCCAGGGCCTCTTAGGGAGTTGACCTGCCGCCAATGGTGGCTCAGAAAGCTCCGATTGGGAGGTGCTGTTGCATCCAATTGAGTGAGTACCCAGCTGGTCATAGCCTCCACTGTTTGTTTTGGAAACTATTGGAAAAACAAAAGAACACCTTGAGTTACTCTTCAGCGTCTGACAGGGAGCAGGGATGGACTGAGTTTGAGGGTTTGGCTGGAAAGGGGGTCAGGATACTGAGGAGATGGGATACACAGAGTTACTGTTTTACATTAAATTGTAAAATCCAAGAACATAGGAAATAATTGCCCACTGGGGCCAGTTTTCCAACAAAAGTGCAATGTTATTTAAGTAAATCCAGAGGAGTGTATCAGTGTCTTCTATTCTCCAGTGAGTGCGGTGAAGAAACAGAGGCGCACAAGCTTTTTGGGGACATTCTTCTGAAGTTTGGGTCTCAAACTGGTGGGCAGCATGTTAGTCTATTCTTTCTATCCAGGTAGGGAGGTAAGGGGCAGATAGGAGGCTCCCAGATGTATATTGTCAATAATCATGCAATTTGAGTTCCTCAACTAATGCATGTACAGGAGCCCAGTATTCTCACCCACAGCCTCTTATTTTCCCACATGACTTAATCAACAAACAAGGATTTTAGGGTCACCAGCAGAGCACCAATGGGAATTTTGCTCTCAAGGAGGAGACACCTCAAAATGTTTAGTTCGAATAATTGATTCCAGCATTTCTTGGTATATCTTCCTGGGCTGGGTTTTACTTTTCTTTAAATTAGAGAAAGCCATCTTCTTTTTGCCAGGAAGAGAATTGTCTACCACTTCCAAGGAGCATGTTTAGGCATGCAGATCTAAGATTTTACCTGTATGTGTGGGATTTTGTCATCCACTTTTCATCAGAAATAACAAACCAGCTACCTCTGGACTCTTGCAGACTGAATCTTAGGTAATGACATTCGCACCTTTTCAGAAAGGTTCTCCTATTCTACTCTGATACATTTGATCAAAGGACATTTAAAGTGAATCCGACTCAAAATATAATGGAATATGAATGAACTGATAGTATGTCAGTACTGGAGTTTCGTGGTAAAAAAAACTTTTTGTGATGTTTTTTGTTTTAGCTTCTTAGGTACAAGCATGGTGATAAATGTGGTGGTGGGGGCAGGGGGAGCTCATGCAGCTAGTCCATGTGAAGGAGATTTTCAAGCAAGCAGATAAGTATCCAATAATTCCTGGTAATATGGCAAAGGGTTAATTACAGCTAAAGGGTATGGTTCAATTATCAGTTATCCACTGCTCACCATGCAGATCTGGGCAAGACACTATCTATATATATCAATGGTTCCCAACCTGCTGCACATGCTTTCCAAGAGTGTGTGTGTGTGTGTGTGTGGGGGGGGGGGTTTGAAGGGCAATTTAAGAATGAGTTATTAACAGTGATTTTTTGTATTATGGTTCTAGGGGCCTCGTATACAGTATATAAATATATATTTTGACATATTTATGCATTTCAGTTCTCTATTTTATGTTTTGAAACTTTTTTTTTGCTATTTTTCATACCACTTCATATTATTATTTTTAAATAATTTCTTAGTGATTTCTTTCTCAGTACTTCAACTGTGCTTTCATTCTTTTATTTTTCTCTTTCATGGATGCCATGTTCTTTGGAAGCTTGTTTAGACCAAGTTAATGGCCTTTTAGGCTTCTTCCATATGAATAAGAGTTTATTTTTTGAGTAACAAGAATTATATGTCACAGTTTTGGCCTCAGGATTTTAGAGATACTTAGGTGGGGCATGGCCAAATAAAGGTTGGGGACCACTGATGTATACCCTAGAGGTGCAGAGTGGAGATTACTGTGCAAGACCAGTGTACAAATCACTTGGGCTGAGAAAGCCTACCTAGAATGAACCCCCAGTCATAAAATGCAGAGTCAGATCCCTTACATTGGCTTACAACATCTTTTTTAGTACCTGAATTCAACTTTACTGAACTGGCTAAGTTGCTTGAATAAATAATTATCTTTGTTTAAGTGAGTTTCAGCTGGGTTTCCATCACTTGCATTCTAAATAATCCTGATAAATATACTCATCTTGATAAAAATTTGGAATATCACCTTTCTTTTCTTCTAGTCTTTCTTCTTCCTCTCCTCCTTCTGATCATTCTTCAACAGTACTGGTTCTATGAATAGGAAAATTATGTGTTGTAGACTATCCCAGAATCATAAAACATTACTTTCAGCACAAATTTCTAGGACTATTATAAATAACAAAAAGTAATAAGATTCAAGCAGTACATCATGTAGGACAGACTTTAAATTCAGGCTGATCTCATTCAAATTCTAAATTGCTACTTTCTAAGGAGATTTACATATCTTTTAAAAATTTATTTTTTACATTCAGTTTTTCTATGCTTTTATCCTTTTACATCTACTATCTTCACCATAGGGTATGTTAAATTTGTGTATGTATCTGGGAATTTAAAAAAAGATATTTAAATGCCACTTAGCATAATGCCTAGAACAAAGTAAGCATTCGCAGCTCTTTTTATCATTGAAGAGAAAGTGTAATTTCAAGAATGTGTTAATCTTTAACATTTTAAACATGACAGAATTATTCTTTTTTTATTAAAGTATACTTGAAATACAATAATATATGGATTTCACAAGTACAACATAGTTATTTAACATTTATGTACCACATGAAAAAAATATGCTGATCTTTATTTATATTAACTATACAACTATAAATTCTTTGTGGCCAAATACGAGAAGGGGAAGAAATTTCCCCAACTTTTGGATAAATCCTAAAGCAAATTCAATAATTCAGAAGGCTTTATAGTAATCACATTTCTTAAATTTGAGTTCTTATTTTTTTAAATAAAAAAATTGAGTTCTTTGTGTGCATACATATGGGCCTAGCCAGTGGCCATGGACAACGGGGGTTGGGGGGGCATATCTAGGGAGGGGTTTGGGATGGGAATGGGGGAATAAGGACAATTATGTGAGACCATAATAAAAAAAAAGATGTAATAAAGATTAACAGATTGCAAAACAAAAAATTGAATTCTATTTTAACAGATAGAAGTAATGGATTAAATAAAATTATTGCATTTGAGTTTCAAAAAGCCCATGAGAAATATGTCTGATAGAATATATATTCTGATTTTATCATCTTGATATTTGGAAATATATTTTTGGTATTTACCAATGTAATATTTGTTCTTGTTCTTACAGTGAGTAGATAAAATTTATTAATTACAGATCTCTAATATACAGCTTTGTTCTCACTCCAGGAAATTAAGAGAACTGGCATGATTAATATTAAAAGTAATTATATGATACATGATCTGTATATTGTATTGTGTACTCACCACCCAAAGTCAAATAATCTTCAGTCACCATATATTTGACCAATGTCTAACTGTTTTTTACTTTATTTTTATTGTTGACACTATTACAGAAACCTATATAATCTTATTAACCACTATCACCCCAATAAATTCAAGAAGAAATACAAATAAATAAAAACCTTGAAAAACATTAAAGGTAATTTTCACACTGAATCCCTCAACTTCCAGTTAGTTTAATTCAATATAATCAGTAAAGAATTCTGTGCTTCAATTGAGTTATGCATATCAAATTTGATAATCCTTGTTCCTAGGTAGAGTTGGGGAAGAAAGAATAAGGAGACAAATTATTGTCTATGCTCATTGTGTGTTTTTCATGGGGCAATTGGGTAGTTAAATGCTATGCTTGCCAAACCATTAGCTGAAGGAAAATTTATTCCTTTGAATTTAATCATGTGTTCATAACTGCTCTCAAATGATGAAGGCCTTCCTATGCTAATAATTACATTACTCTTGGCTCATTATATTTCTCATTCTTATTGTAGTATATCAAAGGCATACAACTATTTTCCCATTTTTTTCTATTCAATTCATAACTTATGGCTGGGAGATTTTTAAAAACGTTTTGATTTAGGACCTTTGCACCCAGAATTGTGAGGACCATTTTGTCCTTGACTAATTTGGGGCAGAGTTAACAAATTAAAAAATTGTAATAAATAATAAAAAGAACTAGTCCAGATACGAACTGGGTAATTCCCAAAATAGGCATTGCATGTTCACTTTTCAGCTGTCTTTGACTGCCTGGCACAGTGACAGTAATAAATAATTGTAAATGTATCCTGCATCTTTTCAGCCTCAAACACTCCCTGTTGAAATAATGAACTTGAATCAAATCTAGTATTTGTTTATGTAATCTCTCTGGTGCTCCACTGGAATTTGTATAGTCATATATGAACTAAAGGCTCAATCAGGATTACTAAGAAGTAAAACATTTGTAATGGTTTGCGGATTTTAATGTTGGTCCATTCTAACTTGGATTTTATACTTTATATATTTCCTATACTTTCCCCCCATCCAATCTTCCCTTTTTTTGCATTTTCTTTCATACAACTTTTAAAAAGAATGAGGATAACAGCCAAAATTACTGTCAAATATGCATTGTGGATCAGCTCCAAGAAAAAAAAGTGGCTAGTATTTGAGAAATGGCTACAAGTACAAGCTTGATAGTTTTAAATAAATAATCCTGACAATTGGCAAAACATTACCAGCACAGGTCACTTAAAATAAGA